GCATACCCATCCACAAGGGACTGGCTACATACACGATGCTGCTTCCAGAAAATGGCATGGTATCAAGCCATTAAAAAACAACAACAGCCTTGGTTGGTGTGGCTCAGTTGGTCAGAGCATCATCCCGTGCCCCAAAAGGCTGCGGGTTTGATTTCCCGTCAGGGCAAATACCCAGGTTGTGGGTTCGAACCCCAGCCCTGGTGTGTGCAGGAGGCAACCCATCGATGTTTCTCTCTCACATTTCTTCCCCTCCCTCCCTCTCTTCCTTTCTCTAAAATCAATTTTAAAAACTTTAAAAACTACAATAAAATATGCAAGACCACAGTCATGAAAAGCCCCAAGTGGTTAAGATCGTAGAGGCTCAGGTTTACTATCTGTCAAATGCTCACCACCAAGGTCTGCTGTGCAGGTTAAATGAGTTGACATGAGGAACGCATGCAGAGCGGCACCTGGCCGACCCACTGTGCCTGTTAGGAAAGTTCTGGCTGCTATCAGCTCACCCGTGCAAGGCAAGGCAGCCCCAGGGAAACAGGGGTCAGGGGTGGGAGGTTTTTCAATGTATATAATAATTCCTACAGCTTCAATTCTCTTTACCTTGTTCATGTGGTATTTACATATTATAAAATATATGCACTTTAAACTTTGCTTAGATGTATGTAGAAGCACGTTTATTACAGCACTGCTTATAATAGGAAAAAAGGAAACAACAAAAGTGTCCCTCAGGAGGGGGGCCGCCTGAATAAATGCACACACCTCGTGTGACGGAAACACAGAGGAGTGTGTTCTGACGCGGAGCGGTCCCCAACATAGTCCCAGGCCAGCAAAACAATTTTTTAAAATTAAATTTCCCCCTCTGTTAAAAAATGTAACACATAGATATGCTTATTCTGGAAAAGGGAGAAATGGGAGAGTTGAAAAGGAGTGAACCACTCCTTACCAAAGACTGTCCCTGTCGTGTGGGTGGACATCCCGCCAGGCGGGTGTCTGTCAGAGCTGTAATGCGACTCCGCATCCAGCTATTTAAATTGAACTCCGGAGCAGAAGCACTTTCCCACGTTATGATAAACTCTATGAATATCCCCCCTGATGTTCTGCGGAGCGCGCTGCCGAAGGCCCCGGCCTCCATAGGGACAGATCCACCGTTCCCAGTACACGCCAGCACCTGCCAGGAGCACGTTGGAAGAATGCCAGGTTGCCATGTCGACAGTAAATTTAAAAACATGTTAGCTTTTTGAGTGCCAGGGAGAGTGAGGTTTGGAAAACTGAGCAGCTATCTCCCTCCAAAGTCACCACCGGCCAAGGAACCCCACTGAGCCTGCTTCCAGTGACCTAGGACAAGGGCACCCAGGAGCTCCACCTTGTCCATAACTGTCACCTCGCAGTCAGGGGCTGACTCATAAACAGAGAATGACATTAGAAGATGACAGGCTCACAAAGCTCTGCTACTAGCCCCAGGGAATGCAAAGGAGATGGCCAGGGCACTTGTCTTCTATCTTTTTTTTTTTTTTTCTTCAAATTCTCGCCAAAGGATATTTTTTCCATTGCTTTTTTCAGAGAGTGGAAGGGGGAGAGAGACAGAGAGAGAAACATTGATGTGAGAGAGACACATCGATTGGTTGCTTCCAGCACCCACCCTGACTGTGGCGAGCCTGCCACCCAGGTATGTGCCCTTGGCCAGAATAGAACCCGGGACCCTTCAGTCCACAGGTCTACGCTCTAACCGCTGAGCCAAACTGGCTAGGGCCACCTTGATCATTTTAACAGACCACAGAGTCACCCGCTGAAAGAGGTTTCAGGCAGAGGCGAGAAAAGCAAAGCCCAGAAGGTCCCTGGGACCTGGGGTGCCCATGCTCAGTGAGGACTTTGAACTTTGCCTTCTTGATTTGTTTTTTGCTTTTGGGAGGGATAGTTTTTATTTTTCTTCTAAAAACAGGTTTTTTTCTGCATACAAGTAGCACTTACATGTAGTTTTAAAAGCTCCAAATGTTTAAAATAATATACAAAGTAGGTCATCAAAGTCCCCCTTAACTATACCCTCCCCCTTGGAGAGAATCGCTGTTTATTGTTGCATGCAAAATTCTGCCAGTTTCTGCCATGCAAACAGTAATATATGTGTATATATATTTACATAAAAGTGGGATCGCATTATATTTCAACTTGCTTTTTTACTTACCAGCGTATAAAAACAAAACAGCATATGAAAATCAAAACTAGACCATCACTGCACCAAGGGCTTTTCACAGATTCCCCCCAGGAAACATTTATATACCTTGGCCTGGTTTCCAAGTCAAACCACACAGGAAGCTCATCTCTGTTCTCATGTAAATACAGCACTCTGTTAGAACCCTGGTTTGTAAATAGAACCCATTTTTTTCTTCATCACAAACAGTACCGCAGAGCACACCTTTGAATATGTAAATCTGAGCACAGCTGTTTCTGTACTGGTTCTGGATGGACGGCGGGACCCCTCATGTGGGCTTTGCAAATATACGATGGAGAATACTTTGGGTTGTCATAAAGCGTGGGGGATGTGGCATTTTGTGGGCAGGGGCCATGTGTGCTGAACATTCCACAGTACAAGGGACATTCCTACCCAATAAGAATTGTCCCTCCCAGATGCCAACAGCACCTCGGGTGGGAACACTTTGCCTGAGGATGAGTCTTGCAGATGAAGTTGCTGTCTGAGCTATAAATGTTTTATTTTAAAAACCACTCTCAAATGGCCCACAGGGGATTATGTTTACGTAAATACTATCTTCCATGTGCCCTTTAGAGAGACAGCATCCACAGTGAAGTGAGCTCAGCATTCAACCATTGCTTCACTGATTCCAGATGAAGCACCTACTGTGTGCACAGCATGGCTCTAGGCCCTGGGGTGAGTGGTGATGGCAACAGGGTCCTGCCCTCACGAAGCTCACACTCTAAAACCACACCGACAGACAACCCCCACCCGGGGTCACTCGGTCTGTGTTTCCTTTAAAAGCCTCACCATAATGCGTTTTTTGTGGTCAGAGACTGTGCCCATCAGTGTCTGAGACCCTTCAGTTTGGGGACCCACTCAATGTGTGCTAGAACCAGACTCCTGTTTCCTGATAAGAGGCAGCTGTGGGTGGAACCCCTCCTGGGTCTGCCCCCCAGGAGACCACCAGGATCCTCCTGCGCTGCAAACAACCCCTCTTCTGTGACCCTAACCCCCATCCCATGCCCTGGCCACATCTGACTGTCGCAGAGATGGATTCCAGATCCGCCACCCCACCCCCGGAACTGGGATGCAGAGGGTCAAATTGAAATCTGTCTTTGCATGTGGCTCCATCTGTAATGAGGGGACCATGGGCTGTGGGGTCCATTTTCTCACTGTGTAGAGCAAGGGGCAGAGAAGAATAAAGGATAGGCAGAGAGGCCCTGGCCGGGTAGCTCAGTTGGTTAGAGCACCGACTCGATACACCAAGGTTGCAGGTTTGATCCCCCGTCAGGACCCACGCAGGAATCAACCAATGAATGCATAAGTAGAAAAACAAATCGACATGTTTCTCTCTCTCTCTCAAAATATCAATTAAAAAAAAAGAACAGGCAGAGAGATTCAAAGGCGAGATAGAGACAGTCCTACTGCCACCAGTTCCTGGATCCGTTCCCTGAGAACCAGACATCACTTCTACCTCTGGGCCCCAAGAAACACTCCTGGACTATTACAAGAAATTCCCCCTTTCCCTTGGGCCACGTGAGCTGGCTCCTGTTTCACAAGCCCCTCCGGCCCCCTCTGGGACAGGACGCCCCAGGAATCCTCATGTCTTTGAGCCTTTCTTATCTAAGATGAACAGACAGGAGGCTAGACGGCTCCCCCAACCTTCCCATGGGGCTGGGTGTGCTTCAGAAGCCTCCACAATACAGGAAAGTGGGTCAAGTCACAACCTCAGAGGGGACCCACAGGGCTATTTCTGGAGCTGCCTGTCCCAGAGGGACTCAAACTAGACTTCTGGCCCTGAAAGGAAAAAACATCCAGCTGTCCAAGAACTTGAATTATTTATTAATTTTCTAAAAACAGATAATTCTGAAGTTAGAAAAAAATGCTTTTAATTTCAAATCCCTAATGGTAATAAGCATTTTGCCTACTAGGCATTATATCTGTTTGTGAGGATTAAATATAAACAACAGTATTGCATTAAAATTTTTTTCACCACCAGTTATACAGAAGTCCAATAAAGTTTCCCTTCTTCCTCTCCTTTACACAAGCTTTGCCATGATATGAACACAAACCCCTAACAAAACAAGTCCCTTTTCCTCAATCCAGAAGAAGGGTGCCCAACCCAAGCACTGGCTTTTAATACTGCAGCCAGCACGAAGGACTACAGTTTCCATCACATCCCCTGACCACACACGCACACACTGGGGCGAAATAAAGATATTTAATTGGTCCGTTATGAAAAGCTAAGCTGATCACCACATTTACATGTGCAAAGGTATGCAGACAAACGTTCCAAAAATTAAGATCTTTACAATGTGTAGTGCCCCCCAGTATTTTCTAGTCTTCCATTTCTTTCCCTTTTTTTAAATCCTCACCTGAGGATATTTTTTCCATTGCTTTTCAGGGGGGATGGGGGGAGGGGAGGGAGAGACATCCCGCATGCAACCCGCCCGGGGCCAGGGAACAAGCCTGCAACCCAGGTACACGGGCTAGGCCAAAATTAAACCCGGGGCCCTTCAGTCTGTGGGCTCAGGCGCTAACCACTGAGCCAAGCCGGCTAGGGCCCCCTCCAGTTCTTAAAAAGCTGGTCAAGGTTTTCTCAACCTAGGAGTGGATCCTGAGCAGCTGTGTGAAAAGCAACACTCTACAGTAATGAACTTGCTCTAACCTGACAATCAGCTTCGCAGGCATAGACTCAGGCCCAGAATTTCAGCGCTGTCCCATCTGGAAACACAGGAGAGACCCTGCCCGGTGCCCCGGCTGCCCATCCTGCGGGGGCGACCTGGGCTGGGGCAGATGGGGCAGGCGGCCCACTCACCTTAAAGCTGAAGGAGCTCCCCGGGGAGGCGCTGAAGCTGCACTGCTCACTTTTCACTAGGTTGCCGCAGTAGTTATTGACCTTGGAGTTGCCATTCTGATGTGTCCTGGGGTCATCGGTGATGGGGCAGATGAAGTAGCCTTCCTCATCATCGCTGTCTGCGTCAGAGTCCCCGTCGTGGCCAGCCCCGGAGGTCTGGCCGCCATCAACGCCCTCCAGGCGGAAGATGAGGTCTTCGTCTGCCATGCTCCCAGGGTGCCCGCTGGACCCAAAGGGTGGGTGTCACAGCCAGAGTTCCCGGGCAAATGCTGCAGGGAAGGCCCTGAAAAGGGGAAGCAAGAGAGTGGGTGCTGGGGCCGGGGGCAGGGGGGGTGCAGGTTCACTGGCGCCCCGTCTGAATGCCGCTGGTGACAAGAGCTGGCACCCTCAGACTGAAAACTGCAGCTATCTTTGGGGGAGGCACTTGGCAGGCATCATGTAGGAACATCTTAAATGCACAAACTCGTCGACCCAGTAATTCTACTTCCAAGAACTCAGTGCTTAAAACAAGTCAGGGAAACGAAATGCTTCTTTAAGCAACTGGAGTGATCTTTTTAGGACATTTAGATCACTCCCACAGCTTCTCTTCACATTCTTGATAAAATCTAAATGCCTTTTAAGGTTACAAGGCCCGAGTTATCCGGCATCCTCCAGCTGTGGCGGCTCCCCACACACACTAGCTTTCTTCCCATTCTGTGAACATGGGGAACCCATTCCCACCTCAGGGCCTTTGTACTTGCTGTTCCCTGTGCCAGGAACAACCTTCCTAATCTTCCAACACTGAGTTCTTCCTCATCACTTAGATCTTCGCTCAAAAGTCACATTTCTAGAAAAATATTCTCTGACTCAATTAAAACAACCCCTCTCATTTCTCAAAAAATTAAAAATAGAACAACCTTATGACCCAGCAATCCCACTTCTGGGAATTTATCCGAAGAAACCCAAAACAATAATTTGAAAACATATATGCATGCTTATGTCCATTGCAGCATTATGTACAATAGCCAAAATATGGAAGCAGCCCAAGTGCCTATCAGCAGACAACTAGATAAAAAGAGGTGGTACATATACACAATGGAAAACTACTCGGCCATCAAAAAGAATGAAATATCACCACTTGTGACAACGTGGATGGATCTAGAGGATATTATGCTAAGTGAAATAAGTCAGACAGAGAAAGACAAATATGATTTCACTTACATGTGGAATCTAAAGAACAAAATAAACAAAATAGAAACAGACTCACAGATACAGAGAACATTTTGAGGGTTGCCAGATGGGAGGGGCTTGGGGGAGCTGGGTGAAAAAGGTGAAGGGATTAAGAACTATAGATTGGAAGTTACAAAACAGTCACAGGGATGTAAAGTACAGCATATGGAATATAGTCAATAATATTGTGGTAAGTATGTATGGTGCCAGGTGGGTACTAGGCTTATCAGGGGAATTATTTATAAGTTACATAAGTGTCTAACCACTGTGCTAATACTCCTGAAACTAATAAAACACTGAATGTCAACTATAATTGAAAAATAAAGAATTATTTAAAATGAACAAAGAACCCCTCTGAAACACACACCCAATCACTCCCCTAACACATAGCCTGTTTTATCCTCTTCATAGACTTTCCCAAACTGAAATCATCTCATTTACTCATTTAGAGTGCCTCAAAGAGCGCCTGACAGAGTGGGGACTCAATTCACATCCCCGGAATGAATGAGTGGCCCTCNTAGAGTGCCTCAAAGAGCGCCTGACAGAGTGGGGACTCAATTCACATCCCTGGAATGAATGAGTGGCCCTCAGTGTTCTCAGTAGCAGCCCACAGTGCTCATCAGTGGAGGCCTGCTCTACACCAGGAAAGGCTGAGTGACTGTCACAGTGGGAGCTCTGGATACACACAAACATGTAAAGATAGCCAAGAAAGAGCTCATCAAGGTTGTAGGAAACAAAAATCAATATTATTTCTATATACTAGCAATGAACAATCCAAAAATGAAATTAAGAAAACAACCGTACTTAACAAAACAAGTGTATGACTTGTACAATGAAAAACAAAACATGTCCAAAGAAATTAAAGATCTAATTAGGCAAAGACTTCTTAGAAACAACACCAAAAATACAAGCTACAAAAGAATAGATGAACTGGACATCATCAAAATTAAAATCTTTTATGGTTCAAAGGACACCATCAAGAGAGTGAAGAGACAACTTACAGAATGGAAGAAAACTTTGCAAATCATGTATCTGATAAGGGATTACATAAAGAACTCCCATAACTTAACAATAAAAAGACAACCCAAATAAAAATGGGCAAAGGATTGGAACAGACATTTCTCTAAAGAAGAAACACACATGGCCAACGAACACATGAAAAGATGCTGCACATCACCAGCCATTAGGGAAATATAACTCAAAGCCACAAGGGTGGACACAACTTTAAAAAATGGGAAATAACAAGTGTTTGCAAGGATGTGGATCAGCTGAAACCCTCACACAGTGTTGTTGGTGGGAATGTAAAATGGTGCAGCAAATTTGGAAAACAGTCTGGTAGTTGCTCAACAAGTTAAACACAGAATGATCTAGCAATTCCACTCCTAGGTATATGCCCAAAAGAAATTAAACATGTCCACACAAAACCTGTACGCATTTGTTCAGAGCAGCACTATTTATAACAGCTAGAAGGGAAAACGACCCAAATGCCCATCAACTGATGAATGATTAACCAAATGTGGTCTCTCCACTCAGTGGAATACTACTGATCCACGAAAAGAAATGAAGTACTGAGACATACGGAACCTTTAAAACATTGTATTGCCCGGCCGGGCGTGGCTCAGGGTTGAGCATCAACCTAGGATCCAGGAGATTGCAGTTCGCATTCCCAGTGCAAAGAAATTACACCAGGGTTGCGGGCTCCATCCCGGCAAGGGGCGTGCAGGAGGCAGCCAATCAGTGACTCTCTCTCATCATTGGTGTTTCTATCTCTGTCTTCCCATCCCTTCCTCTCTCTGAAATTAATAAAGTTTTTTTTTTTTAAATCTCTTTAAAACATCATGTTAAGTAAAGGAAGAGAGCTGCAAACGACCACATATTGAATGATTCCATCTCCCTGGAATGTCTGGAATAGGCGAATCTATAGAGACAGAGAGCACGTGGCGCCTGCCTAGGGCTGGGGGAGGGGAGAGTGGGAGGAAACCGGGAGCAATGTGATAATGGGTTTCTCTGGAGTTGGTGGAAATGTCCTAAAAGCGACGGTGTTGGTTGCATGACTGTGAGCCTGCTAAAAAGCCCTGCACACTTTAAATCGGTGGAGAGTAAGGTCTGTGAATTACACTCCAGTAAAGCTAAAGTTAAAGACAAAGATAGTCAGGAGAAAACTGTTGCAATTAGAAAGCAAGCCACAGAAGAGCAGCCGGGACAGTGATCCTCCTCCTGTTACAAGGTAAAGGATCCTTGTAGATGCAGAACTTCCCAGAAGGACTCACGCAAACTCACGGGCACTGTGACGGACTGTGGGCGGGGGGGCCCTTTCTAATATTTTGTACATGTCTATACTCTTTTAACCTTTTATGAAACTGGACTATCTTCAATATAAAATTATAAGTAAGTAAAATATTTTTCTAAAATTTTAGATCAAGGCAATCATTCCAATTATTCTTAGCAGCTCTCTCCGTGGACAGGCAGCCTTCTAGCTCCGAGGTGGGGCACGTTCTTGGGGAAAAGTGTGCTCAGCTTTACTTTGCACAATGCGCTCTGCCTCTTTCTAGTCGGCCTGTTTCTTTTGTTGTTGCTGTTCTTTTTCCTCAATGCATCACATATACTTACTTCTCAACTCAGTTTGGCAATCACTGCTCTGGGCATCCACTGCCAGCTTTGTTTCTAACCCTCGGGGCAAGACACAGTCACTGCCTGGATTCAAAGCCTGAGCCACTGATCCTGCCTGGCACCAAAACCTTCCTGGGCAGGGCCCCTGTCTCTCTCTCTCCCCAGCCCCAGTGCCCACTCTGCCCTGGTCAGCCCATGGCCAGAATCCCTGCTGACCGCAGTGGCATGGAGCCTGGAGCTGCGAGTAGGCCCAGCCAGGTGACTGACCTCTGGGGCCAGGTTGGTGCCAGGGGAGGGAGCCACAGCTTCAGCCTGCAGTCCTCCAGGAAGTGTAGCTCAGTGGTTAAGAGCCCGGACTGCTGGTCACCTTGACCAAATTAATCCATCTTGCCAACTCCCCCATTTGTGAAGGGAGCTGAGTGGGGAAGTGTCCTGAGTGGGGTTCCATGGAGTCAGTTCACAGGGGAATCATCACCAGAACTCCAGTCCATGGCCACGTCCACCACAGACCTGACATTCTCCTCGGCCGTGGAAAACAAAAGCAGCTGGGGACAAGCAGCTGTGGCCCCACACGGCACGGTGCCTTGTACTCAGCAGGCACTGGTATGTATTCCAGAGCTGAGTGAGTGGGACCTGTTTTATGGCTCTTCAGTTGTCATAAATTTGCTCTTAACACAGCTGTAGCAGCACCTGCTAACTGTCCCCCAGCAGCTGTTCTCTCCTTCTTAATAAGAGAGACACTGGTTTTTGGCTAAGCACATGACCACTTAGAATAAGGTCTACATTTCCCAGATTCCTTTGCAGTTAGGTGTGACTGTGTGACCAAGTTCTGGCCAAGAGGATATAAGCAGGACTGTTTTCAACTACAGGGAAGGGTTTTTAAAGGGAGGGAGGAAGCGTGCCCTTCTGCTCTCCCTTCGTCCTGCTAGCTGGACTGGAAGTGTGGCGGCTGGAGCTCAAGCAGCTATGTTTAACCATGAGGAAGCCACTGGCTGAGGATGGCAGAGCCATGAGAAAGAGGGGGCCTGGGCAGCATAATCTTATATCATGACGCGGCAAAACAGTCCTGGACTGACAGTCTTCAGACTTTGCTATTCAACCTTATATAATCTACTGTAATTTTCTTTTTTCTTTACTACTTGCTAATTCTGTCTGGTCCAGTAGCCCTCACCCCCCCACCCCCATATTATAAAAAGTCACATCACATCTCTTATGACAAGTTGATGCCTGGGTAGCTTGCGGAAACTGTGGCCTCAATCCAGAGTCCTAATGTGACAGCTGCTCCCACACTGGCCATGAAGACTGGGCACTGGGGGACACTGGATTCTCCTAGACAGGCAAGGAGCCCCCAATGGGCAATAAGTCAGCCCCGCGATGCCTGTTCCAGTACTAACCAGGGCACCCAGCTTCCTAGGAACCTCCATCTAACTTGGGCTTCCCTGGGCCCACAGAAGGGGCTGTTCCTGTGAGTGAGAGAC